ATGCACGACCACCCAAAAGTATCACGGTGAGAGAGACTTCCCGGTCAGAATTCAGATAATTTTGAGCCAGGGAGAAGCTAGACTGATCGAATTGTGATCCTTGTACAAAAAATGTCCCAGCAGTTGAGCTCACCACTTCTTGTCACTGCATCTGCCTGCCTCATCTCGCCACCACTCTTCACTCTGCTTGAAAAGGCAACGTGACTATCATTTTCCAAGCATTTTAAAACTAGTCAGACATGAGCACTTTGGCTTATAAGAAGGAAACAGGGGGGGGAAGAAAGAAGCTGCAGACTTTCACAGCAATCTCCCATCTTGTCCTCCTGGTCAGCGCTATTTTTCCTTGCCATTCCAATCAGATAAGCGGAGAGCACTGCCAACCTTCGCAGCTTTATTAATTTTCAAAAAGCTTTTCGTGCACTCAGTATAGCACCAGACTACTCATTCTAAGTTTTTTGCATCTTGGAGATGATGAAGGAAGTAACTGAGATTCAATCTCATCTTCCTCTGGAAGCTTTAAAAGTTTTAGTACTATATTTGAATCCTTAAGCGTTTTGCAGTCTCGACGCTTTCTTTGCCTTTAGCAGTTCCCAATAAACTTCCCCACTTGACCACATTTGGGTACAGAAAGTTCTGACTCTCCTTTACTGAGCTTTGTCCCTAAAATTACTGCTGCTCTCAAAGCGTTCGATATTCAGCGAGCTTTCACAGGTTGATTAACAGATCTCGACTTCAGTTTTATCAAAGAAAACAGCTTTGTGACTTCTGGGAAGGGAAAAAATGCTTACTGGACAGTCATCAGACTGCGTCGCAAAATATTCAAATACCACCTGCGATTTGCTGTCAGAAGTGTATCGGTATGCTGTCACAGAATCCTAGGTTGGAAAAGACCTCTAAGATCATCAAGTCCAACCGCCAACCCAACCCCACCATGCCTGCTCAACCATGTCCCCAAGGGCCACATCCACACAGTTTTTGAACCCCTCCAGGGATGGGGACTCCACCACTGCCCTGGGCGGCCTGGGCCAAGGCCTGACCACTCTTTCAGGAAAGAAATTTTTCCCAATATCCAATCTGAACCTCCCCTGACACAACTTGAGGCCATTGCCTCTCGTCCTATCACTGGTTACTTGGGAGAAGAGACCAGCTGCCCTTCTCTGGACACGCTCCAGCCCCTCAATGTCCTTCTTGGAGCGAGGGGCCCAAAACTGAGCACAGCACTCTACGCTTCTATGATTTCATCATCACAGATGGATTTCTACAGCACACCTGGCTCCCAACGTAGAACTCGGCTTTCCAGCGGAACAGCTCAGTGGGCCAACGAGACCCTGCCAAACTCCTGTCCAGGAAGCTACGCTTTCATGTCTGAACAATGAGCAATCGATAGATTTTAATACCCAATGCCTACATAGATGCTACGACTTCATAGCTACACCTCTCCCTATTAGCTCTGCAGGGGAAGAGCTGCTAAACCTCTCGTCCCTCCAGCACACGCTGTCCTGCCGGTACACAAGCGATGCGTTAGAGAACCGAGCAAGCTTACCCTCCCCTTCCACTACACTGCTGCCTTCGCTCACTGTCTGCAGCAGAATATTAGAGTAATTTTCACTCAGCTCTTGATGCAGGAGGGTTGAGGGGAAAAACAATCCCTCCCATCGGTTTTCAGGGTGGATACGCAACAGAGATTGGCGCAGTCCTACCAGAGCGTGCCTACGTTAGGACGCTCGCTTGACATCCCTGCTCTGATAGAAGGGAGGAAACATCTCAGCTCACAGAGCTCTTCGCTGATGTCCTGTGCTTTGAGACCCTAGGTGGAAACAGCATTACCAAAAGAAATCGTTTTAAACTCTGCCATCGCTATTTACTCCCCCTTGTGCCATACGTAGAAAGGGAGGGATGCAGTTTATAGAGGGGAGGGGGTGGGGAGTCTTAAAAAAACCTCAGCTGATGGGAACCAACTGGCATTTCTGCATTCAAACCAAGCCGCTAACAGAAAGGCTAAGGGTTTCAAATACACTAATCCTTTCTTTACACGAAGACCAGGGATAAAA